TGGGGCTCCTGAACAGTTTTGGAGCGTCGCAATCGCCGAAAAGGTGAGAACTCGAAAGTACTTCAAAAAACTCAAAGGGGGCATCAGTGATTTGTTCTTATTGGAGCCCGCTTGGGAAGCCTCTTGAGATCATCTTTGAGTTTTGGGGCGATGCTTCGGCGACTCGAGACCCTCGTGGGCCGTCTCGTAGGCATCTTGGGCCCCTGTGGGCTTGTCTTGGCACCCTCCCTGGCCCGAAAAAGTCACGCGCGCAGATGCTCCAGGGCCCTGGGGAAGCGCGCCAAGCCCCGGAAGATTTGAGAATTTGAGGTCCAGGCCCCTACAAGATTCTTCAGGACTGAGGCTGAGGAGATCGGGCAAAGGACATGAGGACACGCCCACTCGGTGCCCAGCGGCACGGTGGCAGATTTAATCCAACCCAACGGGATGAGGCCCAGGAGGGGACTGGTTAGTGTTGGTGCCAGCGTCGAGTATACTAGGTGGCACCATGGCCTGAGGGTGCTGGGGAAACTTGCGACTCGAGTTCGCCAGAAGTCTGGTTTGCCGACGATTTTTGACGGGCCCGTCTTGAGTTGTAACGGTCCAGTTTTCGTGGGATGTTTGCAGCGGAAGTCGGCGTCACATTTCAGATTGAGTCTCGTCAGTTTCCTGAAGGCCCCGTCCGGCCAGCCCGAGTCTCCCGAACCCGAGTCTTACGTCTCCCCGACTAGCGATCTCCTCGGGGCCTCTCTCTAAGTCGGGCCTGTTGTGCCCTGCCCCATTGTTTCGGAATTCCAGGGTCGGCCCCGAGCGAAGCGGCCAAGAGGAGCACGACGGTCCTCGAGCGTGCGCCTCCGAGTCACGTGTGCGGATGCAGGCGCCTGGTCCGCGCGGGAGCTCTTCAGTGGGCCCGCCCTCCGCTCTGAGCGCGCGGTATTAGGACGGCGCGAGGCCATGGCTTTTCCGGTGGCAGGGCCTCTGGCCAGAGGCGGCGGGAAGGCTCCGCCTGCATACTTCGGGGGGGGGCACGTGAGCTTCATACGGTCCTTGCCCGAAGCCGCCTCTTGCCAGACCCGCCTCTTGCCAGACCTAGGACCTCGTGCGCTCTCGATGCAGCTCTTCTGGGTGGACATGCTGCCACTCATCCACCGCGTCTGATGTGACGTTCCGTCGAGCACGTGCGTCAGATGCTGCGGAGACGCGCGATCCGTTGATGGTGCTGGAGGTGGCGATATGCAGTCGTGGATTCGGCATCGAGCCTCACTCAGCGGGACCAACGTGACCGTGCCCCGTGAGGTGGCGAGGAACCTGCATACGTAGTGATTTGCGCGACAGCCGTACAGGAATCACATGCGGCGCGGGCCTGTCCAAAATTGTTTCCGTATCACACTTCCGTCTCGAGCGGCAGGCTGGGGAAGGGCCCCAGGGATCTGTGAGGTGGAATTGTCCCCCTTGTGGACTTCCCAGTCTCCCTCCTTCCGCCTTCCCTGCCGCAAGTTATCCGCGCGCCCAGGCGCTGGCACGTTGCGGCGGCCGACTCAGAAGATGGTTGGCGCACGGCGCCTGCTCGCATTCGCTCATCTGGTGGCGTGTGGCTTTGCCACGCCGGGGTCTGTCGCCAGGCATGCGTTCGAGTTCCGACTGAGTGTGCACGGCTGCGGAGTGTGCCGGGAGGTGCTCCGGGGCCTCCCCTGCGAGCGTTTCGGCGCCTGCTACTTGCTGAACGAGTCCTCGTTGCAGAGGGGGTGCCGTCCTTTCTGCGGGCCCGACCCCTCTTCCGCCTCTGCGGGGCTCCTGGCAGCTCCCGTTGGCCGGACGCCAGACTTGCGCATCGTGAAGGGGTTCGGCACGAAGCCCTACAGCCAGCTCCGCGTGTCCGTCATCTCGCGCGAGTCGGAGCCGCCATTGCCTGATTTCTTTGACTATTCGGCCCAGTTCGCGTACAGGTGGACGCAATTCTATCCGGTTGCGTTGTCGCGCGAACCTGCCACCGCGTACGGCCAGATGCCAGGGGGTGGGTGGTGGCCGGGAGAGGGCGGCAGATGCAAGTGAGGGTCCCGTCCAGATCCTCGAATTGGCATCACTCTTTGTTTGGAAGGCCGAAGCACAGGGGCTTGGCCAAACAGATGAACGCATGTTGGGCTGGATGCGTCCGGTGCCGACCCATTGCTTCGCAAGGAGCGAGGCGAGCCAAGGAGCAAGGGCACAACGCACACAAACTGCTGCAAGCGCGGCTGCGGATCTCCACAGCACCATGGTGGCAGCGGAGCCCGGGGGTGAGGCTCGCGTCGACCTCGGCGGTGCGAGCGTCTCCCTGAGGTTGCCGGCGCAGGGCGCGGGCGTCGCAGGTGTGCTCATTGCAGACCCGTGTGTTCTTGCGGGCACGGTGGGCTGGATAGGCTGCGAATACGGCAAGGAGCTCCAGACGAACGTGCGCACCGCGGAGCTGATAAACACGTTTGTCCCTGACAGCGGCACCGACTTCTGGGGCATTCTCGGCGACAACTTCTACGACCGGACCGGCGATATCACGGAGAGCGTGTTCCAGCAGATATCGCTGGAGGCAAAGTCCAAGCTGTTCATGTCTGTGCCGGGCAACCACGACTACTGGGTGCTCGGTTCCCCGACCGTGTCGAGCTACCTGGACCAGTGCGGCAACGGTCACATGCAGTTCTACGCGCAGGACACGAAGGCCGCGCAAAAAGTGCTGAACGGGTCCGGCAGCTCTGCGCCCTTCAATTTCTCTGTGGACCCGCAGAGGAATTGGGACATACTCGGATGCAACATCCCAGATCGGTCTAACGCCTTCTGGTACAACCAAGTGGGCAACGTGGGTTTCGTGGGCCAGTCCGGTGCATATTCGCTCGACGAGATGCGGCCGTTCATGCGGGAGGCGTGCGCGTGGCTGTCGCGCCAGCCTGGGCTTTACGTAGCCGTGTTGCTGGGCCACTGGGACCTGGATAATATGGGCGCATCCGAGGGGATGGGGATGCCCGGGTGGTACACGGAGATGGCCGAGCTGCCTGGGTGTGCGGAATTAGAAAGCCGGGGCATGTTGAAGTTTGTCATGGGCCACACTCATTGCAACAACCCGCACCCGCGCGGCAAGGTCGGCGCCGGCTTCCGCGTGGCAGGCTTTGGTATGGAGGGGTGCGGGAACTACGGCGTGCCGATCCTGGACACCACGGAGGACAGGGTGCGCTTCTGGTATTTTGATACGTCCACCGATGATCTGTACGACGCGGCGATCTCTTGCGTGGAGCGGGTAGGTTGGCGTGGGTGCACACGCTTGGCGACGCTGTGGCTCGACCAGCCTGTGGCACGCGCAGACGGAGCGCCTGATGATTTCTTGGTCTAGCCAGGAGCGGCTCGTGCCTGTTGAGCGGCCGCTCCAAGGGGAGCAGCCGTTCCAAGGTGCTTCTGGTTATATGAGTCTGAGATAGATGCGGGTCGTGGATGCCTCGCACAGAGTGGCACATGCAGCCAGCACTCCACTACTAGAATCTCTGAGTTTTACTGTAGTCATCCAGCCTTCGCCGACTCCGTTATTGCAAATCAGGGAAGCACTGCAAGATTGCGCGTGTACATATTGAGCGGGCCGATGTGATACAGGGATATCGTCGCTCGGGCACCCCTGTCGCGCTTGCGCACAGTGAGTACAGCTGATGAGTGTTGTGATGGAAGCAATGAGCGAGCCGATGTGCATGAGACAGCAGATGCTCGGACAGAAGAAGCAAACATCAAAAATGCAGCAAACGAAGGAGGATGCGGCGCTGCCAGTCCAGTATTCGTACGCTATGCATGGGCGTCGGCCGATGCTCACGACGAACTTGCTTGGAGGCACGCTCGTGGCTATGCTGGCGGCGCACCGCTTTCCACTGCCATGGGGTGCATGAACTCAACCGATCTAGCTGTCTATTTCGCAGAATCCAGGGTTCCAGAGCAGGTGTGATGGAGCACCCTTTCAGCGACGACCTGCATGTCCCAGGTAAGGAAAGCCCCCCTTCCCCCAGGAGCAACGTTAGGGGGAGGGGAGGGGGTGAGGCTCAGGGGGTGATGCATGGCCCCCGATCGCCCGCGCATCGCCGAGAGGGGGCCCGTAGCCCGCAACGCCCTGGGACCGCGGGTACTCGTTCTCGGGCGCCGACCGCCGAAAAGCTCAACGTTTTCCCCCCTGGCCCAGTCCCGTAGTGCGCTCTGGAAACGACAGGGCCGTTTTTTGACCGGTACCGTCTTGCAGTTTTTGTTGTCGGTTCCGACGCAGGTTGTTTGCCGGTTCCGTCGCCGTGTTTTGTTGGTTTTGGTTCAGGTTCCAATCCCGCAGTCGCTCTTTTGTTGTTTCCCGTCGCCGTTGTTTTGCTGATTCTTTGTTCGGGAGACATTTTTTCGGAAACGGTGGAAAACGGCCCCGCCGTTTCCAGGGCCCACGAAGTCCAGTCGGAGAACAAACAACTATATGGGGCTGATGGGGTTGTGAGGGCTCAGTGTATGTGTATGTAGATGTAGTATGTATTGTGTAATACGGATTTGTATGTTTGTTGAATTTGTATTTGCATGTGTAGGTGTATGTACATGCGGATAGATAAACGTATGCATATGTGAATGTATGGACACATGAAGGTATGTATAGTATGTACGTATGCATGTGTGTATGCATACGAATGTGTATGTACACATGCACGCTTGTATGCAGGACACGGACGTGTGTACGTGTGTTTGAATGTCTGCATTTATGTACGCATGCATGTATGTCCGTATGTTGGCTTGTATGGTCATACCATTTGGTGCGTGTGTCCCCTACGCCGTCGACCCTCCGTTCCAGAGCTGTTCTGGCTCGTGAGTTTGGGGCCCCGAACCAGGCTCCCCTCTTCCGCGTCGCGGTGGTGCGCCCGCCGCGGCGCGAGGGTCGCAGTGCGCCGTGGCATCCGCGCGACCCCGTAGCGCGGCCTGTCGGCGGGCCTGAGCCACGGCACGGTGCGTGCGCTCGGTGCGCCGAGCACGAGCGCACTCCAGGCCGGGAGATGGATGCTGCTCGCGGAGGCGGGGTCGTCGCCTCGGTCGGGGAGCTGCTCGACGACGGCCTGGGGCTCAAGGTCGTCGAGGACGACGACGAGGCTGCGGCCGCCTTGGAGGAACTGGAGCCGTCGCCCGCCGAGCTGGTTGTCATCGAGCCGAACTCGTTCTACTTGAGTACAGGCTTCAGCGACGACGGGGAGCAGCAGTGCGATTTCGTGTGGCTGGCGCTGCGGGTCGTAGCCGCCTCCGAGCAGCTCGTGGGTGCGAGGCTCCTCTTCAGCGACGATGCGTACTGGGACTGGTGGGCGGCGTCCCCAGGCGTTGCGGGCGGGATCTCTCCCATCGCCCTGCTGCACATCTGCACGGACGAGCCCTGCGGCGCGGAGGCACCTGCGGGCTGCGACGAGCTTATCCACGTCTCGGACGCCCGCAGGCTGGAGGCGGAGGACATTGCCGAGGTCTTCTCCAACTGCTTGCCCCGCAACCCCGAGGCGGTCTGGCCCGCGGACCTGCTGGGGCCGCGTGCGGCGCGGCTGGCCGCCCCACGCGGGTCGGCGCGCCCGACGAAGGAGAGTGCTGCGCCGCCGGCGCCCGGGGCAGCAGAACCGCGTGCAGCCAAGCTCACGGTCGTGGGCCGCGACGCTCCCTTCGATGGGCTGCTCGGCGACAGTGCCCTGACCGCGCGGGCTGCAGGCCTCCCGCTCGACCTGGAGCCCACGCGGTACGAGCTGCGGGCCAGGCTCGCTGCGGCGCGGGACCGGTTCGCCTCGGCAGCGCCGGGGGCCGCTGCGGCCGGCGCACCTCTAGGCAGTGCACAGGGCGCGCTGAGCGAAGGCAAGCCGAAGAAGCGGGGCCTCGCCGAGGCGCTCGCGGAGCGCATGGCGAAGGTCGCCAAGGCCCCCAGCGCCGAGGCGGCGCGCGGCTCAAGCGGCCCAGCTGCTGCGGCTGTGGCCAGCGGGGAAGCTGCGGGCGAGGGCGTGAAGGAGCTGGCGACGGCGCTCATGGCGGCGCTCAAGAGCTCGGCCGCGCAGGCTGCTGGCAGCTCGGGCGCCGGCGCCGCCGCGGACCCCCTCAGCGCGGCCGACGGGGCCGCAGCCACGAGGGGACTTGCGACCAGACGGGTTCCCTGCAGGAAGATGGCGCAAGACCAGCCTTGCAAGTTGTCGGAGCTCACGCCGATGCAGATTGCAGAGTTCCTCGGCGCCGTCGAGGGCGACGCGGCGGTGGGCCCGACGACGGCGCTCGTGCTGAGGTACCTGCCCACGATCTACTTGCCGCAGAACCCAGTGCAGCAGATCGGGGTGGCTGCGTATCGCGAGATGCGGACGTTGGCCCAGGCGATCGACTTTCTCCTCCAGGGCAAGATTCCGCAAGCGCTGGACATCTTGACCCAGCGGCTGAAGGCGGCGCAGGTGGCAGTCGACGACGGGCGCTGGGGCGCGGCGAAGTGGCTGGAGCTGATCCCCGCCAAGGACGAGCCCGCCACGCTGCGGAACGAGGAGGAGGAGATGATCCGCAGCATCGGGCTCGGCGAGTTGAAGCTGGAGGAGCTCAGCAGCCGGCTTCGCGGGCCTCAGGGTTGAAGTGGAGGCCGGATGGAGGCGCGCCCGATGCTGGCGCCTCCTCCTGCAGGCCAGGCAGGGGGGGCGCCCCCTGCGACAGCGCGGCTGCCTGGCAATCGCGCGCCCGACCGCCCGAGGGCGCCGAAGGGCAGCGCGAAGGAGGGCGAGAGATTGCCTCATCCGCGAGTCGCGCAGTTCGACAAGACCGCAGAGAAGCTGCCCGCTGGAGGCTCGCAGGCGCCGCTGAACTTCAAGGCGGCGAGGGCTGCCTGCCCGGGGAAGGGCGGCGAGACGTCGAAGGGGTGCATGGCGCGGCTGCGGAACTTCATGGCGGAGTCGCGCGGCCAGAGGCGATCGCAGACGTTGCCGAGGCTGCTGGAGGCGCAGCTTCTGAGGGGGAGGGCGCGGCGCGGATCGCTGCTGGTGTCTGAGGACTTCCCCCGGCTGGATGATGAGGGGGCAAGGGGCCGCTTCGCGGCTGGAGCGCCTCCCAGCGGGGGCCAGCAGCGGGAGCTGGCGAGCACCTCTCTCCCACGCGGCATGCGGAGGCCCCCCGCCGCGGGCTGTGCCACGCGCGACGCTGGGGCGTGGCGCGACGAGGTCTCGGCCCAGTTCGGCGCGACCGTCACCAGCGTCGACATGACAGTGCACCTCGTGCAGCTCGTCGAGCGCCACCCTGGCAGCCCGGGGACTTCCGCTAGAGAATTTGCAAAGCACGTGTCCACACTTAGCGGGAGCGGCAGGCGCCCGCGTGACCTGTCGCCGCTGCCCCCGCCAAGTTTCCTGCCTGCACGAGCAGAGATGCTGGGCGCAAGTGCAGGGCCAGGCCTTTCGCTCGTCAGGTAGCTGAGGAGGCCTGGTTGCTTCTCACCGTCGCGGCGCTGAATTGCACGCACTGTGGTGGCTGCAGAGATGGTTGCAGGCATCGCCCGATCTTGTCCCAGGCGCAGCGGCAGGCCATGGGGTTCCTGAAGTCCCGCGTCGTAGACTTCCTGGGGGACCCGTTTGAGCTGGTGAGCGCGCCCACCGCCGACGCGGCCCTCAGCGAGGCGACCGTGGTCTACGCAGGCGAGCCCGTGGCCAAGGCGTTGCCCTGCGTGCTCGCGGAGCTGGCGTCGCGCTTGCTGCAGCCCGAGCATGCCGGGGCGCTGGGCGCCCTAGACCTCGTGGAGCCCGACGTTGCCGAGTGGCTGGCCTCGCCCGAGAAGGCCCTTCTTCCCGAGGCCGACTGGCCCGACCCCGGGCCTCGAGCCAGGGTCAGCGTCGTGGACAAAGCGGGTTGGCATGAGCTCGCGGTGCACCTCGCGGAGCTCGGGATTTTCGCGGCGCTGAGCGAGGACCAGCTCGTCAGGGCCAGGGGCGAGCCGCTCTTGAACAGGCTCTTCGCTGCGGCACAGAAGGGCAAGCCAAGGCCAGGCGGCGAACGGGTCACCAGGCTGATCTTGAACATGGTCCTTGGCAACGCCTTGCGCAAGCGGCATGTCGGTGAAGCTTCGCTCCTCGCGGCGTCCACAGGCTGGGTGTCCCTGCGCACCCCCGAGGGCAAGTTGCTGCTGTGGTCGGGTGACGACCAGGAGGGGCCCCTTTCCGTCTGGAGGATCCCCAAGGCCTGGCACCCTTACATGGCGGTTGGCAGGTCTTGCTGACGCGCTCTTCGGGCGCCCCGAGCGGCAGGTGTGCATCGCGCCCGCGGCGACGGCCACGGGGCGGATGCTGGCGGCCCCAATCTTCCGGCACATTACCGCAGGCTGTGCCGCCTGCCGCCGCCCAGGGGCGCAGAGCTTCCACCTGAGCTGGAGTGTCAGAAGGACGAGGCACGCCCGATCGTCGAGCTGGGCAGTGGCTGCGAGGCTGGCTGGTGGCAGGCGCGCATCGACGACTTCGACGCGCCCCGGATCGCGGGCGAGGCGCGGGCGCGACAGCTCGGGGGCGCCGAGGCGGACTGCGAGCAGCGCGTTCGCGAGAGCTACAGGTGCGCTGGCGTGGCCTGCGCGGCGGAGAAGGCCCGCCTGCGGGAGACGCGAGTTGAGCGCATGGGGGCCGACGTGGATGGCGTCAGCGGGCGGCTTGCAGCGCCGGGCCCCAAGGTGTTGAGTGCCGCTGCCCTTTGCCTCGCGACGTTGTCGCAGGAGCGGGTGCCCTGGCGCGTGTGCATGATGGCCCTCAGCAAGCTGGTGCGGGCTTTGGGATTCAGACGCCCGCTTTCCGGCCTCCTCAACTCTATATGGTCCCTGTCGACGGTGGGATGTACGGTCCAGTACAATGCCGAGATGGTCGAGGAGCTCTTCTCGGGCCTCATGCTGCTGCCTACAGCGGCCACCTCTCTCCGCGCTCGCATTGAGGGTATGGTCACGGTCTCGGACGCCTCGGAATTCGGGGGCGTCGTCTGCACGTCCACGAGCCTTCGCGGGGAAGCGGCATTTGCGCTCAAATCCGTGAGCCAGGTCGCTGATCGCCTCGTCGTGGGCTCTCGGCTGCTCAGCATGCCCGTAGACCCGCGGTGCCCCTGGACTGTGTCTAACCCGAGGATCCCGAGGGCAGTCGTGTTGAAGGTGCTCAATGTCCTAGTCGTGTGGTTTCGGCGGCATCGGCGACCTAGCGGTGTCGCTCTCTCGTCATTTATGTCACCGCCGAGACCGACGCGAAGGCCAGACGCGTTGTCCAACTGCGCTGGCCTGGCGCGATCGACTGGGGCGAGGTGACGCGGGGGGGCCTTGAGCCTGGCGCAGGACCTCTTTGTCACGTTCTCGGAGACTGTGGACGCGGGCGTCGCGGGCACGGGCAGCCCGTGCCAGGACCTTTCGCGGCTCGACGCAAGCGGTGGAGGACTGCATGGCTGCAAGAGCTCCTTGTTGTACGAGGTGCCCTGGATCTTGTGGCTCTTGCGGCAGACGTTCGGGCGGCGCCTCTACTTGCTGCTCGAGAACGTGGCGAGGATGACAGACGAGAGCGTCAAGGCCATGTCCAGCTGCATGGGAGTGAAGCCGTGCCTCCCCTGCTTGTCGGTCACGGTGCCGCGTCGCAGGCCGCGACTCTTCTGGTTCAGGTGGCAGCCCCAGGTGGCGCCGCCGCTGCGCCTTGTCGACAAGGGCCGCTGCCTCGGGGTCATGGCAGACAACGGGGCGCTGCTGGACATCGAGTGGGGGGACCAGAAAATTCGCTTGGCCAAGCGCCCGCTCCCCTTCTCGACGCTGGTGTTCTGCGGGGCGCCCCTGAGCTTCCCGTCGGCGCCGCGGGGCTTGGGCTCGGCGCCCGATGAGACGCGACCGCGTTGGCAGGCCGATTTGTTCCGCTATCACGCCGCGCTGTACGAGGAGAAGGATCTCGGTTACGACTGTCTTGGGAGGCCGCCAGGGAGGCCGCCAAGCTGCATGGAGAGAGAACCGCTGCTCGGCCTTGGCGCGGGTTACACCGCTGTAGCCACGAAGGGCTCGAACCCGCGGGCCGCCTCAGACACCGGGGCCCCCCTGCTTCGAGAACAGCTTCAGCGTCTATGCGGTCGCAGGGGCTGTGCAGCACGTCCTCCTGGCGCAGTCCGCTTTGGCGCGCCCCCCCCGTCCGTGCCCGAGATCGCGCGCGTCGGCCAGTGCCGCGAGACCTGGGGCCAGAGCGGCTGCTTCGAGGACAGCTCGGGCGACCCGAACATCGAGGAGGCCAGACGTCTCGTCCTCCACTACCTGAGCCCCGCGGAGAAGGGGGGCTCGGACGCGCGGCTGGATTGCGGCCTGCCGTGCCGTCCAAGAAGCTCGAGCCTGGGCCCCTGCGCTGGATGGCCATGCCGATCGCGGCGGACATGTGCCCGCTGATCGGCTGGCCTCGCGCTGGCAAGCGACTGTCGCGGGCGTGTGCTTCCGGTTGCCCAAGCTCTAGCGGAGGCTGGATCTGTCGCGGGCGCTGCTGAAGGCCTGGCGGCGAGCGGGGCCTGCAGAGCGGGCGCTGCCGTCCACGCCCGGCATCGCCGCAGGCCGGGCAAGCCTGGCGGCGGAGGCTGGAGCACTCGACTGAAGTTGCTTGCTGCTCATCAGCTTTGAGGGCCTGCTGCGGGGTGGCGAGGCCTTCGCGTTGACGGCAAACGACGTTCTCGACCGAGATACTCAGTCGCGCTGCGGATCATGACGTCCAAGACCACAGCAGGCAAGGACGCTGCGGAGGCCGTCGTCATCAGGTCAGCGGTGGCCAAGGCAAGGCTCAGGCTGGCTGTGCAGCAGGGCTCTCAAGCGAAGCCCTGTCGTGGAGGTCGCCCGCGCAGTTCAGAAGCGCGCTCGGAGCCCTCGCGCGCGGCCTGGGCCTGCCGGGGCGCTTCTCGCGGCAGCCCGCCCGGCGAGGGAGGCCTCAGACTTATTCCTGCGGTCGTCCTCCATGAAGGCCACGCTCGTGAGGAGCAGGTGTGCCAGCAGCATGACGGCCCGCATCTACATCGAGGATGCGGTGGCCGACCTCGCGCGCGCGCGGCTCGCGGACCAGGCCGCCGCCGCTTGCTTGAATGGGTTGCGTTTGTTGCAAGCGTTTTCACAGCTGTAACACATTGTGTTTATTGTATATGCTCACGCGCTTCGGTCTGGCAGTGACCTCGTAGTTCCCAATTCGAAGCGGACAACTGTACTGCAAATGAGGCGGAGGGTGGAGAGTTTAACGGCTAGCAAGCCACGATGGGGTGGAGATGGTATAGCGTGTTTTCGTAGTTTTTTTTTTGCGGTGCCGCGGACTGGGGTTCAGTGCGACCTGGGTCCTGAAACGCCTCTCCCCGTCGTGAAGCTGGCCCGTGAAGCCCAGAGTGAAGCCAGTGTGGACTGCCAAAATTGGTTGCTCTGGCTGCGGGGGGCCTTGCTCTTGGCTTGGCGCAGCCGCGGGGGAAGGGGGCGTCGAGCGGTTCGCGGCGAACCGCAGTCTGAGGGGGAAACTGAGCTATTAGATCATTGGCGTTGGCACGTGCACGTACAGTAAAACGGTATGTCCGTATACTGGCTTGCATGGTCATACCACATGGTGCGTGTATCCCCTACGCCGTCGGCCCTCCGTTCCAGAGCTGTTCTGGCTCCCGACCCACACGCCACCCACCAGAATGATCTCTTGTAGATGCTAGCCAGCTCAATGCTTGCCTGAGGTCCCGTAGCCCGTCAGGTATAGCATGTATTCCCGGTTGTTTGCGGTGCCGCGGATTGGGGTTCAGTGTGGCCTGGGTCCTGAGACGCCCCTTCCCGTCGCGAAGCTGACCCGTGAAGCCCAGAGTGAAGCCAGTGTGGATTGCCACGCTTGGTTGCTCTGGCTGCGGGGGGCCTTGCTCTTGGCTTGGCGCAGCTGCGGGGGAAAGGGGCGTCGGGCCGTTCGCGGCGAACCGCAGTCTGAGGGGGAAACTGAGCCATTAGACCATTGGCGTTGACACGTGCAATAGAACGGTATATATGTAGGTGGGTGTGCATGTGTTTGGCTGTACGTATGTATGTTTGTATGTGTGCATGTATGTTGTCATGGTTGTATTCATAACTAGTGTACGTACGTATGTATGTATGTGGGTATGCATACTTGTATGTGTGTATGTTCGTATGCATGTGTGTACGTACGTACGTACGTATGTAGGTATGTGTGTATGTATGTGTGCGCATGTTTGCACGCATGTGTATATATATATATGTGTGTATGCATGTGTGTTTGTTTGGTTGTGCGTATGCATGTATGTATGCATGGGTGTATGCATGGTTGTATGTTTGCATGTATGTACGTATGTACTTTAATCGCTTCGCTCATTCCGCCGGCCCTCGAGCGCTCTATGGGGCCTCTTTGAAGCCTCTTGGGGGCCTCCTAGGGGCATCTTGGGGGCCTCTTGGGGGTCTCTTGGGGCTCCTAGGCGGCGTTTTGGGGCCCCCTTGGGCCTCTTGGGGGGCTCTTGGGGGCCTCTTGGGGCGGGGTAGTCGAGTGCACCCCCCTCGGAGGCCACGATCCTCGTGAGGGGTGTCGAAAAAAAGGCCCTCAAAACCATCTCTGAGTAGACCTGCTCGGGCTGCGGTCGGGATACTTTTCGCCAGGGGACCCCCAGGGGCCGCCCCACGCGCGCGAACTAGAAATACTGTTAACCAGTTACCTGAGATCTTAGCACGCCTCTGGCCCTCTGGGCCGGCGAATTATGTGTATGTGTATATGTTTGTGTATAGGTGTGTGCGGTTGTATGTATGTGCGTGCGTGTGTGCGTACGTCCGTATGCATATATATATATATATATATATACACATACACATACATATATATGAAAGAGCGTGTTCTACCGCTGCTGGCGGAAAACCGCGGGGGGGTCACTACCGGTTCGAACCCCTCCCCCCCCCCCCCTCCGGAAAACCGGGGGGGGTCACTACCGGTTCGAACCCCCTCCCCCCCCCCCCCCAGCTCATCATGAAAAGGGGGGGGGGTCACTACCGGTTCGAACCCCCCCCCCCCCTCGAAAACCGAGTGGGGGTGCGGACAGAGGTGGGGACGGTGTTGGTGGGACAGTGGTGAGGGGACAGCGGGACAGTGGTGGGGACAGTGGGACAGTGGGACAGTAGAGGGCCGGTAGTGGTGGGGACAGTGGTGGGGACAATGGTGGGAACAGGGGGGACAGTGGACAGTGGTGGGGACGGTGGTGGTGGGGACAGCGGTGTGGGCACAGTGGGAACGAGGTGGAAACAGTGGGACAGTGGAGGGTACAATGGTGGTGGGGACAGTGGTGAAGGCGGTGGCGAGGACGGCGGTGGGACAATGGGACAGAGGTACAGTGGGGACAGTGGTGGGGACAGTGGGGACAGTGGTGGGAACAGTGGGACAGCTCAGTGGGACAGCGGCGGAGTGGGACAGTGGGGACAGTGGGGATAGTCGGGCAGTGGTTGGGGCCGTGGAGACTGGGGAGAGTGGAACCGTGGTGGGAACAGTGGTGGGGACAGTGGGGACAGTGCGACAGTGGTGGGGGCACTGGTGGGGACACAGTGGGGACAGTGGTGGTGAGGACAGTGGTGCTGGGAACAACAGTGGAGGATGTGATGCGGACGGTGGTAGGGACCGGGAGTCGTTTGCTGGCGGTGAGTGGGGGGGTGGGGAGGGGTTCGAACCGGTAGTGATCCCCCTCCGGTTTTCGAGGGGGGGGGGGGTTCGAACCGGTAGTGACCCCCCCGGTTTTCCGGATCCGGAGGGGGGGGGGGGGGGAGGGGTTCGAACCGGTAGTGACCCCTCTCGGTTTTCGAGGGGGAGGGGGAGGGGGGGGGGGGTACGGGAGGGGGGGGGGGTTTTTGCCGGGGGAGGGGCGGGGGGGGGGGAGGGGTTTCCAGCGGGGGGGGGGATTTTCGGAGGGGGGGGGGGGGGACCCCCGGGTTCCGGAGGAAAAGGTTGGCAATTTTACAGTAAAGCGGCTGTGGATCACGCTCTCTCTCTCTCTCTCTCTCTCTCTCTCTCTCTCCTCTCTCTTTATATATATATATATATATATATATATATATGTGTGTGTGTATGTACGTGCTTGTGTGCATACATGACGGATTTCATGTATGTCTGTATGTATGAGTGCATGCATGTAAGTACGTATGTATGCATGTATGTATGGGTGTATGTATGTATGTACATATGCGTGTGTGTGTGTATATGCATGTGTGTATGTGTGTATGTATGTATGCATGCATGCATGCATGGATGGATGTATGGGTGGACGGATGGAGGTGTGTGAATGTGTGTGTGTGTGTGCATGTTTGTATGCATGTATGCATGCGTATATTTGCATATTTGTATGTTATCACACGTTGGGGTGGCAGCGTGGCCAAGACACCAAGGTCGTCACAGAGAGTCGGAAGCCACGTAGGAAGGGCACTGCAAGGTGAGGCGCGCAGGACAGACGTACAGACAAGAACAGTGCCTAGACTGTGGACGGCACATCGGTTGCAGATCACATGCATGCGCGCATGCACATCACAAGCCAGAACCACCAGCAGTCCAGGAGGTGGCGGAGGAGGGGGAGGACAACGTGGACGATGACAAGGACGAGGGCGCCAGGGCAGCGTAACACAGCAGGCGGGGCAACTCGGCGAGCACGTCGAGGCGAGACAGAGCACGAGGCGGAGGTGGCACGGAGGGGGAGAGGGTGGGGAGGGTCGCAAGAGGAGGAAGAGGACGAGAGGGAGAGGCAGAAGTCTGAGGAGCAGGAGCATGAGCATGAGAAGGGTCAAGAGAAGAGCAGGGCAAGTGGAGACTGACCGAATGCACGGAGCACAATGGAACGGGGGACGAAACAATCGTCTGGCAAAGATCATCCGACAGTCGGCGTAACAAGTACACCCGGGCGGCAGAAGACCCTGAACAGCATAGCTGAATGGTCAAGAGAGCATGATGGCACGGGGGGGCCAGACGGGAGGCCATTCCAGATACGGGGAACTGCGCAGGAGACCATCAGGTCATGGATTCTGCGGCCGGCAACGGCCCCCCCCTGTGAGACCATGCGGGGATTTCACACGGGAGGCCATACGGGAGACCGTCGGGTCACCGATTCTGCGGCTGGGAACGGCCCTACCATGAGACCACACGGGGGACCATGCGGGGGGTCGGACCGTGGACCAAACCGGGGACCATCAAGTCGCAGTTTTCTGGGGTCAGTGATAGCCCTGGTCTCTCTTGCGAGGCATTGCTTCGTCCTCTACAGGCCAGCTGTTTAGAGGAAATAGCAATCCGCCGTGGGGTTCGCCTGACCTTGGGCGTCAGCCCCACACGGCGGAACACGGGCGCGCTGAGTTTGTAGTCGCCCGGGAACAGATGGACGCCCTCACGGCGGAAAGATTGATGTTTTGTGTTTGAAGGAAATGGTATCCATTGCTCATGGATCTGCAGCCGCTCTGTCGGCGTTCCCCTGGGTGGAAATTAGTACGAGGCCATCCTCCGGTGGTCAGCTGATGGCGAACCCGTTCCCCAGACCTCCCGCGGGTTGCCGCTTGCCGCCCGTGTCCCGCAAGGACCTCAGTCCCTCCCCCAGGGCGGATGTATCATTCTAGTTCGTCTTC